CCATCCCTGTGGCTGTGCCAGCCCCAGAGCCCAGCCTGGCTGTGCTGGACCATCCCTGTGGCTGTGCCAGCCCCGAGCCCAACCTGGCTGTGCTGAGCACCCCCGTGGCAGTGCCAGCCCCAGACCCCAACCTGGCTGTGCTGAGCACCCCTGTGGCAGTGCCAGCCCCATAGCCCAACCTGGCTGTGCTGAGCACCCCTGTGGCAGTGCCAGCTGGCGGTGGCTGACAGGACTGTCCATGCAGGGAGGCCTCCAAGCTGTACAGCCGCTGGCTCACCTATTTCATGGCTGTCAAGTCCAATGGGGGTGTGTTCGTGCGGGACTCGTCCCAGGTGCACCCGCTGGCCGTGCTGCTCATGACCGACACCGACATCCACGTCCGAGGTGAGTGCTGCCGGGGGCACCCGAGCTCTGCCAGGCCCTTGACCTGCCCTGCTCTCCGAGCTCCTGCTTTGGGACGGGTGCTGCTGTGGTGGGGCCGTGGAATGGTGGTTTGTGAGCTGTCCCCAGCTATAGCTCTGCAGGGAGACAAGGCAACCCCCAGCAGGCTGAGCCTGTAGGCCTGTGTGCCTGGATCATCCTCTCTGGGGGAAGGAGAGGCTGAGCTGGCACGATCCCACCTGTCCCTGGGGACGTGTCCCTGCAGCCCCTGGGGGTTTGGCAGTGCTGCAGTCAATCTCCAGCCCTCGGGTTTGCCGTCAGTCGCCTCCTGCAGGAAACTGGGAGGATCCCAGTGTGTGCTCAGAGTGCTGCCTGGCTTTTGTGGGAGCTGTTGGCCCAGCTGAGTCCCTGTTGGTCTAAAACAACTGGGAAGGAGCTGTGTAGCAGCAGTGGAGAGGCTGGAGCAGCCAGCACGGGTGAGCCCCGTGCCCACCCTCCCCTCCACTCTCTCCCAAGATGACGGCTGGAGAGCCACCGTGTCCCTGACGGACAGCGACCTCCTGGTGCTGGAGGGGGACTCCTACACCATCCGCCTGCTGCGCGACTTCCGCGTGTCCCTGTCCAAGATGGTGGAGACGTGCCTGTGCTACGAGATGGCCGCGATCCCCGGGGACCTGCACCACCAGCACAGCCAACTGCTCGACATCCTGGTGGATCTGCTCAAGGGCCCTCCCGGCAGCTTTGGCTCGTAGGCGGAGCCGGAGGCTCCTGTGGGGACTTGTAATTTGTATAAAGATGTTCACAAATGTTTATTTAAATAAAGTTCTATTTATCCCTTGTGAAGTCATCTCTCTCCATCCTAGAAGATTAATGTTGTCTGAATCTCCTGCTGCCGGCTCCGTGCATGGTCACCGCGTGGGAAGAGCAGCGGGAATGGACTGGGAGTGCCGATGGACCCGAGCTGCGTGGACACCCACCCGCCTCCTCCGTGCCCAGCGCCATCCCTGATGGAAGCGAGGACGCGGCCGCCGGGGCCGTCCCGTGCCCCCTCCCCACGGGGCCGGGCTGGAGCCGCTCCGCTCGCTGCCAGAGCTCCTCCGGGCTCACCACGAGGACGGATCTCGGCCGTGCCAGGCCCAGCCTGGATCCGGCAGCTCCGGCGCAGGGATCGCCGTCTCTCCACTCTCCACGTGCCCCGAAGGCGCCGGATGGAGGTGACATTCCATGGGGATCTCCGAGCCTGCCAGCGGGGCCCTGCCAGCCCTCAGTCGTGGCGTCACGAGCGTGAGATGTGGCTCGTCCTTCCCGACCCGCCTGTACTTTTCGTCCTCTTGCGTTGTTACTATGATTTTTTTTTTAAATCTCCCGTTCTCCCTTTGCCGAGGAGGTCGATCCCTGTCCCCTGTGCACACAGGAGCGATTGTAGCTGCCGGGCCTCCCGCGGGACGCCGGGAGCGCAGGCACAGACCTTTGTTTTCTACGAACAGGGACCATATTTCCGTGGAAGGAGGATTGCGACAGGCACAGCACTCAACGAGGAATCTGGAGTTTAATCCCAGCTTTGCCTTGGACTCTCTGTCCGTCAGACAGTGACCTACCTCACAGGGCTGTTGTGAGGCTTCGCTGGCGTTTGTACCAGGAGGGACTCGGGGCGCGAGGGCTGTGCCCCCGGCGCTGGAGGGGCCCGCGGGGCCTGGGGTCATTCCTTTTTATTCCCATTTCTTATGCTCTTTGTATCTGCAGCAGAGGTGGTGGGCTCTGAGGGCTCTGAGGGCCCCAGCCGGGCACTGCTCCGGGCAGTGGGAGTGAGACTGTTCCTGCCCCTGGAACAACGGCAGAGCAGCCCCGGGGCCCCCCTTTGGTTCTCCCAGTTCTCTGATTTAATTTACTGCTCATGGGCTTTAAGGCACTGTGCCCTGTGCCAGCACAAGGGGCCCTCGGAGTCCTGCAGCCTGGGGTCACTCAAAACTTCTCATCTTCATTTCACTTGCTTGAGGTTGTCACTATTATTTGACCAGTGTTTGTTTCTTTTGGCCTGTATAATGGGCAGTATGGTTTTCCCTTCCAGCAGGTTTAAAAAAAAAAAAAAAAAAAAAAAAAAAAAAAAAAAAAAGACTAAGCTATTGTCTAAATGGTTCCGAACTAGTGTGATATTGGGATACTTCCGTGGCTGTTATGTGATACTGGATCTTTTTACAACATAGATTAAAGACAATAAAAAGGGATAGAGTAGGAACTGCCTCTGTCCTCTTCATTCTTTTTTGCTGTTTATTTATTTACTGCAACATGTGGAATTTTGTGCCTTTTCTTTGGCCACTTCTCCAGTGGGAGAGGTGCAGAGCTGGGGGGGAGGTGGGTGGGGAGGGCAGAGGGGGCTAAAGGGCCCTGGCACTGTGGGACCCCCTGTCAGTGACAGCCTGGGGGGCTGAGGGATCACTGTGGGGTCAGCTGGCAGGACACAGTCACCCTGCAGTGCCAGAGCGTGTCCTGGGCTGGGGGTTTGTTCCCAGGGCAGGGCTCGAGGAGGGGCAGAGGAGCTGCTGCTGCTCAGGGACCTGGACCTTGGGTCCAAGTGCTGTGTGGGGTCCCAGGTCGTGTCTGTCCCGACTATGAGTCTGAGCCAGGGTGGAAACCTTCCCTTCCTACGAGTGGGTCGGGGGCACCTTCTGTGAGGGGGTGGTGGCCCCCCGGGGTTCCCCTTTGGTCAGGTGTGTGTGCAGGGCCTGGCACGGGCCACTCCGAGAGAAGCCAGGTGGGATGGGCAGGAGGGGAAGGTCGGCTCCTGTGGCTCTGCCCCCGGCTGTGCCAGCTGTGGCACACTGCCACCGGCACCGAGGGCTCTCACTGGCCCCGGGGGGTGCCCACAGGACACCTCTCCCCTCTGATCCCAGGCTTGAGGAGCAAAGCCATGGATGGGGATTTTCTGTGGCTGAAGGAATCGAATCCAACCGAATTCCTTCCCCCTTTCCTTATGGCTTCCTGTGCCACCGGCATCTCAGGTGCCCCTGACTGTGCCACCGCGCCCTGCCCGGCTTTCCCCCCCCCACAAACTCAGGCCCAAGCTGAGGAGGAACATCTAGAAGCTTTATTTCAACCCTTTACAATAGTAAGAATCACAACATCAAGTCAGGAAATGTTGCTAAGGAGACGCCGGTCTTACAGCCCCTCGGGGAGGGTGAGACACAAAGGCAGAACCAAACGGGTGGGTCCCCCCAGGCCGGGGGGCTCTGCCCCAGCCCACCCCCCAGAGCTGTGGTCTCACACCGAGCACTGACCTCCCCCTGCCCGGGGACAGCCCCCGCGGGCACCCCCGCAGAACAACCCTAGGACACAAACAACAGGAACACGTCACATTGAGAACACTCACACGCTGCTCACGCCTCACGACAGCCCGGTGAGGTAAAGAGTGTCACCCCCGTGCAGGGGGGAGCTGAGGCAGAGAGGTTTAGTGGCTTCCCGAGACCGAGGAGGGAGCCCGGAGCCGGGACCACCCTCCGGGCTGGGCTCTGCTCCCCCCGTCCTGTGTCCGACCCCCCTCGGGCCCGGCCGGTGTTCCTACGGTGCGGGCAATGGAAGCTGCAGGTGATGTCGAAGGTGGGACGAGCACAACGGGCGCACGATGGAGTCTCGTGTCTGATCCTGCCCCGGACACCGGGGGAGGGAGGGGGAAACGCTCACCCGGCCGGAGTTCAGTGGGGAGGAGGAAGGAGAGCCCGAGCATTCCCACTGCTGCCTCCCGGAGCCGCTTCCCACCCCACCCGCAGGGTCCCGGGGCCGGGAGGGCTTGGGGGGGACATTCCTCCCAAGCCCCGAGGCCGCCGGGCCCCCCCAGCTCCTGCCTTTGGACAACCGGGAGCGGCTCCCGGGGCTCGGCCCTTCCCTCGGGGACGCCCCGTCCCCCCGAGGGTGTCACTGCCACCAAGCTCCAAGAAAACTAGAAATTCTGCCTAAACGACACAAACGCGGGGGGTCCCAGAGCCCCCCTCGCACCGACACTACGCGGGGACAACACCGGGGGTCAGCGTAGAAAACTACATTCAGTTTGCGGTCAGGACCCGACCCACGGGAGCCACGGCCCGGGGCGGCAGCGGAGCCGCCGCTCCCGTGGCCTCAAGCCCACAAACTTGTTACTTGAATGTACTTGTTTAACAGTATAAAAAGCCCGAAGTAACTGTATATGCCACTGATACGCAGGGAGACACCAGGCTCCGGAAAGGGGGGAGGCTCCTGCCTGGAGGGACCCCAGCTGGGATGGAGCTCCCACCCGGCCCTGCTCCCTCCCCATCCCCTCAGCAGCTCAGACACCTCCAAAACGCCGCTCGCCCTCATCCCGAGCTCTGGGAAGGGCTTTGCTGAGCCTCCAGCCCAGCCTGAGCCCAGCTCAGCTCAGCCACCCCTGCAAAGCCAGGACCCCCCAGCGCCAGCTCAGGACAGGAACGTGTACATTCAACTTGCATCTAATTCAGACCACAACTCCTATTTTTTCCCAAATTTGCTGCCTCCAGCCCTCGGTGGAGCTGCCGGCCCCCTCCCACCCAGCAGCGTCTCTGCAGGTCTCTGCACCACCCAGCTCATCCCACCTCTCCAGAAAGGAAAAGCCATTTCCAGCACACACGGCTCCTTCCCAGCAATATGTACAGCCGCTTCCTCAAGAGAAAATACAAAAAAAGAAATCCATATTAAAACTGAAGCTGTCCTAGAAACACCACAGCAAACTAATGTATCCGGATTTAGTTTGTCAGCTAAACACAGGCACAACAAGTGTTAGAGAAGTGGCACAGAAGCACAGGCCGGTGGGGGCAGCTGGGCCGGGGGCTGTGTCGGGCAGGGACAGGCCTGGGTGCCAAATCCTCATCCAGGGCTGCCCAGCAGTCGGGAAATGGGATAAAAGCAGTGCAGGGGAGAGGTGATGTCGCTGTCCCTTTGCAGGGGACGGGGGCTCGTTTGCTGTTTGTTTTTTGCAATCTCAGAAGATAAAGTGCAATGTTGCCACTTGCCTTCCTCCTGCAGCACCTGAACCACGGCCGGGACCCGGCTGCCTCCCTCCGCCCAGGAATCTCATCCCGGGGCACTCAGGGAACCTCCTCCCGGGGTGCCCCGGGCAGAGCAGCAAGAGGGACACAACATCTCAGCCTCCACCTCCTCTTTGGTTACCCACGAGCATCTCCGGCCGCTGCCCATCGGCACAAACCCTGCTGCCAGCTCGGTGAGCCTGGAGAGCGGCTCCAGCCCCTTCCCAGCCCATGCTGGTGGGTCACAGGCAGGGAAAGCAGGCTCCAGGCAGGGAAGCCGGGATCCAGGCAGGGAAACCAGGCTCCAGGCTCACCGTGCAGGCTCAGGACCCTCACCCCAGCCCCTGCCCGGAGCACACGGACGTTATTGCTTGGGAAACACGCGGCCCCTGCCCCGTCCTGCCCAGGGGCTCAGCCTGCTCCTCTCCTCAGTCCCTCTCCTCCAAACTTCCCCTGGATTCAAGTGTTGGAAAAAAAGAAACCAAACCAAAGCCAAGACTGACAAGCTGAAGCTGGTGTTTAGAATTTAGCAGTGAGAGAAAGAAGGAAGCGCCAGCGGGAGGGCAGTGATATATACCGGGGTGGGGACACAGGGGACAGGCAGCACCGGCTCGGGCCGGAGAAACGGGGTCCCGGGCCCGGCCCGACCCCAGCTCCAGCTTCTCCTTCCGGAGCCAGGGCTGGGATCAGTGCTGGGAACGCTGGGAACACACACGGACAACAGGGGGGCAGGGAGCGATGGCACGTTCCCTGTTTGGGATCAAAGGGATGTGGCACAGAGGGAGTGGAGAGGTGGGGAGGAGGAGGAGGAGGAGGAGAAGGAGGAGAAGGAGGAGGAGGAGAAGGAAGAGGAGGAAGAGGAAGGGAAGGAAGCACTGGGAGGGCTCCAGGGTATATATAACCGCCCCTTTCAGGTGCAAATCTGCATTGTTTCAATTTGTATTCAGAGCAAAAAGCACTTATGAAACTACCAGACGACTTTGATGCAAACTAGTACATTTTAATGCCATTTTATTAGAAATCATGCAAACTTTAATATAAAAAATACAAGTGCAATAAGAATCTTTGTGTGTAAATACAGATTCTGGGTTATCGTGTCATTGTCGGCTTCCCAAAGAAATATTCCCACAAGCATGAGAAGCTGCAGGCTTCCCTCTGTCCCCTCCTGGAGCAGCCCCCCCTTAGCACAGCCTGGTTCAGTTCTCTTTGATCCCAGTGTTTTGCTATTTCGCTTTTCTCTGTTTTTGTTTTTTTTTTCCTCTTTAAATTAGTTTGACCACCCAAGAACACTTTTTTTTTTTCTTTCCTGTTTTAATTTATTTACATTTAATTTCTTTAGTGTCATTTGCAACACGAAACGAGGAGCTCCAAGAGTGGGGGAAAATCTCCTTCCTAGTCAGAGCTGCAACTCCCTGGCACTAACCCTGCCCCGCTGCCCAGCCCAGGGCTCCCGGCTCGCTGCCCATCCCGGGACGGGCACTGCCCTTTCCTGCTCATCCCGACGGTCCCCATCCATCAGCCTCGCTAAAACCACACACACACACACACACACACACATCCCTCACACCCCAGGACCTGCTTCAGCCTCGGACTCCCGGCCTGCGTCAACCAGCCACGGCAGCCTCCTGCCTCCCCTCAGCCCTGGAAAACCGGGATGAATCCCAGGGCTCCGGCCGTGCCAGTTAATAAATAAACCACCTTTCCCTCGCTGACACGCAGGAGGCCCCGGGCACCCCCCGGGGGAGGGGCTGTGAGCATCTCCTTGAGGTCAACACAGGCTCCACCTGAGCTCTCACAGCAAGTTCGCCTTTAACACATCCCTGTGCCCTTCGTTCCAGACATGGCTTAATCCCATGAACTCGCTCCACCGGTTCAAAATATTGAAAGAAACCCCAAACAACAACGAGGAAGTTACAATGGCTGGATATGTCAGTAAGAAGCCAGCACGGCAGCAGCGGTTAATGTCCCTACTCTCCTACGGGGTGGGAAGGAAGGAAAGAGAAAAGGAAACTTAGCACGGGGCTCGTAGCACAATAAATCATCAACACGTCGTCACAAAGAATAAAAGGTTCAAGTCAACAGCTGAAACAGCCTAACGAGTGTGGAGGGTTTATATCAGCATCCAACTGAAGCGGTGAGGAGGGAAAGGGGGTAAAAAAAAAGAGACAGAAAGAAAGATCACAGCTTATCCCTGTTAACTCTGGCCTGGCTTCAGCCCCCGGCACATCCCTACACTGGAACAGCCCTGGAGCCGCTCGATCCCGGCCCCGACGCGACACCACCGCTGGAGTGACCCCCCCAAAGCCAACGGGACGGGGCACGGGGAGGGAGGGAAACCCCCTTCCAGCCACGGAGGGACCCCCGAGCCCGGGCAGGGCCGAGCCCCCGGGACGCCCTTCGGAACGCTGTCCCTTCCCACCTAAAGCCAGAGGCCGGGTCAAGAGAGCCAAGCTGGGTCCTCGGGGGCGCGTGGAGCGGGGCCGGGGGGTCACAAGCCTTGCTGGGAGGGCGCGGCGGGGGCAGCCGGCCGCGGCAGCGGTGACGGGGAGGCGCCGGAGCCCAGGCTCTCGCTGGCAGAGGTGCTGCGCCGGGGGGAGGTGCTGCTGGAAAGGTTGGGGGGTTTGGAGACGACGATTTCAGCTCCGTGGTCTGTGCGAGCCTTGGCCTTCTCACGGAACGTCAGCTTGTGAGATTCAATCTGCAGCGACACAGGGGTGGGGGACACGGGGAGGGGGCGGGAGGGACGGGAGGGAGAGGGGATGGGGAGGGGGGGGGGGATGGAAGACGATACCAGAATGTCATCATTAGATGCCTGGAAGATAAAAGGCAATTTTCTGAATTAAAAGAAAGGCAGGACAGCCCTACAGACGTCGCTACAAACGGGTGGGGGCTGCCGGGCTCCCCCCCCTCTCCCCGGGGCGGCACAGAGGGGGCCCGCGGGCACTTACTTGTTTCTTGTATGTGAGTCTCGAAGCTCTGAGTGTCCCTTTGCTCAGCGGTGCCCAGGCCGGGGGGCACGGCCGGCCCGACCCCGTTCTCCCGCAGCGCGCTGCCCGCCGGGGCCGCCGGGGCCGGGACCGGGACCGGGACAGGGACAGGGACCGGGACAGGCACCGCACCCGGCACCGCGCCCGGCCCCGGCCCCGCTCCGCCCGCGGCCGCCGGCGGCTGCTGCCCCGGCTCCGCACCGCCCTCGGCCTACAATGACAAACGGGGACCCGGTCAATAGGGCGGCGGTGCGGGGGGAGAGGGGCAGGGCTGGGGTTGTAGGGATGCGAGAGGTGCAGGGGTGTGAGAAGTGCTGGGGTTGTAGGGCTGTCAGAGGAGCTGGGGTGTCAGAGGTGCAGGGGGATGTGAGAGGTGCAGGAGTGTGGGGTGCAGGGGTTGTAGGGATGTGAGAGGTGCAGGGATGTGAGAGGTGTAGGGATGTGAGAGGTGTAGGGATGTGTGGGGTGCAGGGGGATGTGAGAGGTG